GTTCAAGCGTTTGTGTAGCACACACTTAAGGTTTTTTAAAAATCACTTGTTCTACTCATACTGATCTCGGAAACATTGGCTTTCAAGGTCTGGCTATAAGAAAAGGGTTTGTTTAGCTATTTAGCTTTCGAGTTTTTAACTCCATAAGAGCATTTTTCCATATGGTTCGTTGTACACCTCAAAACCGCTGTCTTACCAATGATCAAGCCAAAAATTCGTGTTCGTTATGTAGACGATACATTTGTCATCGTCAAAAAGGATGAACAAGAAAACACCTACAAGATGATCAACAACGTCTTCAATGACATCAAGTTCACCATGGAACAACAGTCAAAGACAAGCTATCATTCTTGTAGATATTAATCTCGAGAGCCGATACAAGTAAACTGGAGAGTCAAGTGTACAGGAAGCCGACCCACACTGATCAAATTCTCAACTACAATAATGACAACCCAAGAACTCACAAAATCAACTGTGTACAAACTTTGTTCAAGACGGCGAGGATACATTGCAACACAATTACAGCACAGAAAAATGAAGAATAATACTTGAAAACCATCCTACAAAAGGACGGCTACCCAATCAATTTCATCAAAAATATACCAGCCGCACCCATCATCAGAAACGAAGTCACGTATAGAAATCAACAAAAAATCACCTTACCATACATAAAAGGTATATCGGAAACGACAACGAGACTGCTAAAAACATTCGAATAGGTGTTGCTCACAAACTATCAAAATCTCTCCATTCAATCTTATGCAAACCAAAGGATGAAATGACAAAAGAAGACAAACCAAACATCATCTACAAAATAGATTGTGCCAACTGCGACAAACACTACATCGGACAAAGCGGACGCCCTCTTCATCTTCGCCTGCATGAACATCAATTAGCAGTCAGTCGCCACGACATGTCTTCACTTATATCAATGCGCGTATTCAACTGCGGACACACATTCGACTGGAGAAATGTGGAGATTTTTGATAGAGGAAATTCCAAAAACACCAGAGAATTTTAAAAAGCTTGGCACTCAGGTCAATCAGCAATAAACAAACACATTGAAATCAATGCAATCTATCAGCCAATCAGGAAAATTATGCAGAAACATAGGAACAAAAATCAAACCAACGGGAGAAACAATCAAAACAAAGAAATAAACAATGATGTATTTAAGGTCAACAAGAACCAATCAACATCGAGGTGTACGGAACAAGCTGTGAACCACATGTGGAGAAATTCAAACACATCACTTCTACCTGAAGTTTGTGCTGATGATGTCGTTCAGAAGGACGATGAAAGCTCCACGACCAAACCATCCATCTCAGTGAACAAAACTCCATCAAAAAAGAGAGTCCACCATGAGTTTGTTTGTTAGTGATCTTCTAAAATTTACACGAAGTCCTTGAAAACAGTGAAAATAATCAAAAACTTGGATGTCATTATTCAACGCCCAAAATACGAAAATTACAGCCACTCGAGTTCAATGTGATATAAATGAGTAAAGTAAATGGATTTTAACTTTAAACATCAAATTGCTTACAACCCCATTCACTTTTTGAGTGGGGATACGAGATGAAACATTGAAACTACCACAATACTTACTTACCGCTTTTGCCCATCATGGAGGAGCATAGACAACCCACCTGCATTCTCCATTCAACTCTATCCTGGACAATTCCTTCCAGTTTCTATTCGTCCTTTTTATATCTGCTTACATTCCCCGACGTAGTGTGTTCTATGGCACTCCATTTTTGTGTTTACCTTAACGATCTCAAGTTAGCACTTGCCTCGTGACCTAGTTTGAGGATTTCTGAAATGTGTGCTGTATTTACCTCCAGCGTGTTTTCCTAATTTCCTCTTCAGTCTTCATAATCCATTCAACCATTAGAAGAAAGAGAAAGAGGGACAGTAGACAGTCTTGTGTGACTCCGGTCCTTACTTGGAATGCGTCTGTCAGCTAACCTCCATACAAGACTTTAATGTGTGGTTCATCGTGTGAATTCCGTGTAGTGTTGAAGATTTTCTCAGGTATTTACTCCATAGTATCGAAGAAGTTTCCATAATGTCCTCCTGTCCAAACTGTCGAACACTTTCTCATAGTCAAGGAAGTTGGTGAATGGTGACGATTTACATTCAATTTATCTGTCAACTATGATTTTTGTACATACGTCATATATGTGAATCACCCTAATTAGGATTAATTTGTTCGAGCGCAAGCTTCACGCTACATTTGATTGTTATTCAGTAAACTGATTGTCTGTCTGTTATTGAGTTGATGAAACAAATACATCCTTATCATTTTTCATACTTCGGCTTTTTGATCCATCAATGTATCAACGTCGTAAAATCTCAGCCTTTAGCCATTCCGAGGGCTACTGCTGGTCCCAAACTATGGTAAAGGGGGAGGGTTGGGCATGGGGTTAGCAACCCCATCTCGTTTAACAACAACGACTAGTTTCAGGACAGCTTCTGTTATACTCCGGCCATGAAGAGAAAAATGCCCCACATACACAAAGGGAAAAGCGAAATTTTCCGATACAACACAGCATGTACCAGTCGAATTACACTTGACGGAGAAGCTTTGGAAGATGTAAAAACCTTTAGGTCAGATATTAGGCCGAAAATCAGAAGGCTGTTGACGGTTGCAATAAGATACATTTGTTGGCGATCTCATGGTATCGAAAGAATACTGAGATGGGCCAAAGTTCACAAGCGGAGCTACCGAGCGTAAGCGAGTTCACGCAAGGTCTTGGGCAACGGAAGGAAGTGTATCTTTGATGCACTTAAGCAGAAACGTACAGTGAAACAATCACTGGTAAAATTGGTTATAATAATAATTGTTTCCATCATACAATTCGCGTTCACGTCATAAAAGGAGGTCACTACATATTTATCAAGTTGGCAATTCCTGTCGTTTCAGTTCACGTCTATTTTTCTTTGACTGTCTATCAAACTAATTGTATCAAATAAGCAGATATGAAATACACATATTCTATTTTTGATATAAGGTTGTCATAAGCGTGTTAAGTTCATAAAATGTATACAAATATCAATAAGGTATATGTCTTTTTAGCATCAATAATGATCACATATTACAGATTCAACAGCGAGGACTAAAAGTAGAAGTAGTAGAACTGAGTGAATTCGTAATTCGACTGGTACATGCTGTGTTGTATCGGAAAATTTCGCTTTTCCCTTTGTGTATGTGGGGCATTTTTCTCTTCATGGCCGGAGTATAACAGAAGCTGTCCTGAAACTAGTCGTTGTTGTTAAACGAGATGGGGTTGCTAACCCCATGCCCAACCCTCCCCCTTTACCATAGTTTGGGACCAGCAGTAGCCCTCGGAATGGCTAAAGGCTGAGATTTTACGACGTTGATACATTGATGGATCAAAAAGCCGAAGTATGAAAAATGATAAGGATGTATTTGTTTCATCAACTCAATAACAGACAGACAATCAGTTTACTGAATAACAATCAAATGTAGCGTGAAGCTTGCGCTCGAACAAATTAATCCTAATTAGGGTGATTCACATATATGACGTATGTACAAAAATCATAGTTGACAGATAAATTGAATGTAAATCGTCACCATTCACCAACTTCCTTGACTATGAGAAAGTGTTCGACAGTTTGGACAGGAGGACATTATGGAAACTTCTTCGATACTATGGAGTAAATACCTGAGAAAATCTTCAACACTACACGGAATTCACACGATGAACCACACATTAAAGTCTTGTATGGAGGTTAGCTGACAGACGCATTCCAAGTAAGGACCGGAGTCACACAAGACTGTCTACTGTCCCTCTTTCTCTTTCTTCTAATGGTTGAATGGATTATGAAGACTGAAGAGGAAATTAGGAAAACACGCTGGAGGTAAATACAGCACACATTTCAGAAATCCTCAAACTAGGTCACGAGGCAAGTGCTAACTTGAGATCGTTAAGGTAAACACAAAAATGGAGTGCCATAGAACACACTACGTCGGGGAATGTAAGCAGATATAAAAAGGACGAATAGAAACTGGAAGGAATTGTCCAGGATAGAGTTGAATGGAGAATGCAGGTGGGTTGTCTATGCTCCTCCATGATGGGCAAAAGCGGTAAGTAAGTATTGTGGTAGTTTCAATGTTTCATCTCGTATCCCCACTCAAAAAGTGAATGGGGTTGTAATGGAATATGTAGATTAGTGAGTCTAATAAATACTTGCAAGAAATTCCAAATTTCATGAAAACTAGCAAGTCTTTCGACTTCAATCAAGTACAGTGATCATTATCATAGAATTCATGTTATCCGAAGTATTCAAACTCAATAACTGTAATATATGTACGATATATGTGAAGTTATGCAAGATAGCTAAGCTAATTTTTAATACAGAGGGTTTGTGGAAATTTCTGAATTTTGCAAGTTATATGACTGATTAAATAAGTGAGACAACCAATATAACCAGAAAGAACTAGACAGCTATTTCGTTCTAGTATGACACACCTCATCATGGTACACCCACGACTTCATCGAGGAATGAACCTACGGATTTCAATTTAGTTTCTAATGCATAACTTATTGATAACTAGGCTAAAATTCAACAGCAGACATCTCGAACTTCAAACGATTCCCAATGTTGTTTAGCCAACTTTGATTTCCTGAGGAGAGTAACTCTCTCACATCCGACAAGATCATGTGTTCAATCCAGGGTGTGTGGTGAGTGTCTAAGATTAAAGATTCTCATAGTGTGGCGAAACAGTTCTTTGGTGCTTTTTCGTTTTTAATTGTTAGCTGAAAAAACCAGTCCACAGTATCAACTATGAGAATTTTATTTTTACTGATCACTTATTTACTAAATGAAACATATTAAAAGAAAATTATAATAGCATGATAAATTGTTGACTACATTTTAATATTTTAATCACATGAACTCTACATCAAATCATGAACATGGTTAGCTAAACAATATAAATAAGCATTGATATCTCTCTGATGTAATTATACACTGTTATTAATCTATATTCATAATGATGATCAAAATGATTGTATTGTTGTTCTTGGCACAGTATGTGATGTGCCAACCGGCGGTGATGTCGACACCAGCATCTTTAAACAATCAAACTGACATAGTGAATGAAATGGAAATTACTACAACAGATGATGACTATGATTTAAATTCAGATGAAATTGATGAAAATTTCTTTAATAAGCTTGTACTGGCTATCACCATGTTTTTCAAAAGCCTACTTCAAGGTTATGTGGAATCAAATGAAATTTACAATACAACTGTGAACGTATAAAATGAGATTCATGCCGCTCATGGACTGATAAAGTGGTTCATTCTGTTTTAAATACATTAATAAATATTTAGTATGAAGTGATCGAATTACATTCTTATCGATAATATATTTTGCTCACGTATGTAATATAACGGTCATTGTCCTCGAACTCCTAGAAACTTGATGTCCAATTAAAAGGCATAGATAGTAAGTACTTTAGTTCTCCATTGAACTTAATTCATTTAAGACTCAAAGCTAATAAATTAGCACACTTGAAATGTATGAACACATAGCAACACGATTAAAAAATTTTAATGCGTACATAACTTAGACATAAGTGGTACAAGACCAGAGTATTAGGGAAATTTGAAACAATCGGGTGTATGACGATGATTTATAAACCGAAAAAGATCTCAGAAATAGTACAGTATAGGAATACAACTGCCTATGCGTCTATTAATTATTCAGTAAAAGTGCTTATAAGAAGTCTGTAGCGGAACGTTTTATGGAATGCAAATGGATGACTAAAGACTGGGTGTACATATTACAGAAAAATTATGTAAGGGTATTTAACACTCCGTGAACCCGGTATCTTATACTAATCAGGTAAAGAAACACTTTATGTAACACTGTAACTATACTATCAGGTAAGCTCCTGCAAGTCAATTGGTTTCATTCACGAATGCCTACCTCGTCAACATCACACTAACCACCGAACATCACTTATAAGCAAGTAAATCATGTCGTCTACATTCATTATATTTCTATAATGGTTACAGTTTATTTACATTGACTGCAAAATATGTTTTATGTTGTCAATGAATGGTTTTTTTAAAGGAATTCAATTATCCCATTAAATAAACCTACATTTACAAATAGTATATAATGACTTATCTGAAAAACTACATCATTTAAATATTTTTGGTGAGACTATAATTTATGAACAGGCCAATCAGAAGCGTCTGAGGGATTTCAAGGTAACAGCGCCAATTTCAGTACCTGGTGCTCATGTACGATCGGTTCACAGAGGATTTTAGAGAAAACGTGACAATTAAGCGGCTACAATAAATGGGACTATTAAGGAGTTCCTTTATTTGTAATTGCGGTAATTAATTGACTTGTAGACCTTGTGCAGACTACCCTGTTGATGTCATCTTTCGATGTAATATACGTTAGAGGAAGAAGTCTGCTAGAATAAGAACTTTTCTCTCTCGATCCAGATTGGGACTAAGGCAAACTATAATAATTGCTGTGAACTGTGTAATAAAAGCACCAATATTATTGACTGCAATATTTACAAATGTTACTGAAGCTTCGGCTGCTTAGACGTATGAGTGTTGTAGGAATATATGCGTAATAAAAATGACGAACTTACACAACTGGAATATATACAAACAATATTGAAGCTATGTGGTCGAGGCTGAGAGAGTTTTTGTGACCTTATCATGGCTCCAGAGACCGAGTATTATGGAGCCATATGGATGAGTTCCTCTACCCTATGCATTACGATTTCAAAATCTTTGAACCTCTTTCTGACCTTGACAAGTTTGTGGAACATGTAAAAGAAGTTTACCCACTCTAATTCTTTGGTGTTGTATAATATATTCAATTCTATACTAACTGTCTTCTGATTGGCTAATACTTCTCAAGGTCACTTAAGATTCGTTCAAAGGTCGTCCATAAGTTATAGTCTCGTCGTTAAAAATAAATTCCAAGTACATAGTTATTTCAGATCATCATAGTGACATAAAAATGGATTTTTAAACGTCATTAGCTTCAAAACTTGAATCCCCGTAAAGAATTGGATGAACGATTTACTGACTGAAAATGTAGTAAAGTTATTATATACTGACAACTCTGAGTTAGCTAATCAGAATGAAGATAACGCCTTAAGTATTTCGCGTGTAACTTAAAATGCAGTGATAGATAACGCATATGTGTGGTGTTTATATGAATCAATGATTTCTTTGTGTTGATGACTGCTTTGATTTTGAATTCTAAATACAGTACATTCGTTCGTGCTCATCGAATACTTCTTGATTAAATTGAGTTATTACCGAGATTACTAGTTTATACTATAATTCAAATACTCTTAAACATCACAATGTGTTATTATTAATCAAGTAAAAACTGTCAATATTCGGTCCTTAAAATGTTTGAAACCAACAAAGTTATATATTATGCAGTCAAAAAGTAGATTTAAGATTGAGCCTAAACGAAAATATATAACATATCCGCTTCTAAGTCAGATTGTATGTTAAAGTACTTGATTTGATTCATTGTCTAGTCAAGAGTGTCTAATGTGGCTAGATAATCATCTACCTTTCTCACTCTCAACAAATCTCAACCCTAAGTTGCTCAAGTTTATAAACAGGAAGATGGCAAATCATTCCAATATTGCCGATATCAGTTTATGTTGAAGGCCCTGACCCTAATTTGTAAACCTGACCAAAAACTCAAATTTAATTCTTGATCCTTAACCTTATCCTTTTTCCATTATAACTGATATCGACTGGGGACTAAATCTCTATGCGTGATGACTCTAAATCATAACACTAGCTCAACTCCTAATATATCTATGTATATAAACGTGCCCTTCTTTTATTTACTATAACAGATTATTTGAATTGTAATTTAATTAATCAGATCAATGCTTTTACTCAACTGTTATTTCACCCCTTTGTATCATTAATTGCTTTATAACTAGGCACCATTTCCTGATTGGTTGACAAGTTGCACAAGGATGTCGGTATATCATACTTTTAACAATACGTTTTCAATAATGTTCACTGAGTCTTTTCTCACTTGCATGTCTATTCACTCGTAACTACCAAAGTAAGTAATGAATAGTCCTGGAGATTTCTAGTTAGTTTATTCGAGTGAATAGACATGCAAGTGAGAAAAGACTCAGTGAACATTATTGAAAACGTATTGTTAAAAGTATGATATACCGACATCCTTGTGCAACTTGTCAACCAATCAGGAAATGGTGCCTAGTTATAAAGCAATTAATGATACAAAGGGGTGAAATAACAGTTGAGTAAAAGCATTGATCTGATTAATTAAATTACAATTCAAATAATCTGTTATAGTAAATAAAAGAAGGGCACGTTTATATACATAGATATATTAGGAGTTGAGCTAGTGTTATGATTTAGAGTCATCACGCATAGAGATTTAGTCCCCAGTCGATATCAGTTATAATGGAAAAAGGATAAGGTTAAGGATCAAGAATTAAATTTGAGTTTTTGGTCAGGTTTACAAATTAGGGTCAGGGCCTTCAACATAAACTGATATCGGCAATATTGGAATGATTTGCCATCTTCCTGTTTATAAACTTGAGCAACTTAGGGTTGAGATTTGTTGAGAGTGAGAAAGGTAGATGATTATCTAGCCACATTAGACACTCTTGACTAGACAATGAATCAAATCAAGTACTTTAACATACAATCTGACTTAGAAGCGGATATGTTATATATTTTCGTTTAGGCTCAATCTTAAATCTACTTTTTGACTGCATAATATATAACTTTGTTGGTTTCAAACATTTTAAGGACCGAATATTGACAGTTTTTACTTGATTAATAATAACACATTGTGATGTTTAAGAGTATTTGAATTATAGTATAAACTAGTAATCTCGGTAATAACTCAATTTAATCAAGAAGTATTCGATGAGCACGAACGAATGTACTGTATTTAGAATTCAAAATCAAAGCAGTCATCAACACAAAGAAATCATTGATTCATATAAACACCACACATATGCGTTATCTATCACTGCATTTTAAGTTACACGCGAAATACTTAAGGCGTTATCTTCATTCTGATTAGCTAACTCAGAGTTGTCAGTATATAATAACTTTACTACATTTTCAGTCAGTAAATCGTTCATCCAATTCTTTACGGGGATTCAAGTTTTGAAGCTAATGACGTTTAAAAATCCATTTTTATGTCACTATGATGATCTGAAATAACTATGTACTTGGAATTTATTTTTAACGACGAGACTATAACTTATGGACGACCTTTGAACGAATCTTAAGTGACCTTGAGAAGTATTAGCCAATCAGAAGACAGTTAGTATAGAATTGAATATATTATACAACACCAAAGAATTAGAGTGGGTAAACTTCTTTTACATGTTCCACAAACTTGTCAAGGTCAGAAAGAGGTTCAAAGATTTTGAAATCGTAATGCATAGGGTAGAGGAACTCATCCATATGGCTCCATAATACTCGGTCTCTGGAGCCATGATAAGGTCACAAAAACTCTCTCAGCCTCGACCACATAGCTTCAATATTGTTTGTATATATTCCAGTTGTGTAAGTTCGTCATTTTTATTACGCATATATTCCTACAACACTCATACGTCTAAGCAGCCGAAGCTTCAGTAACATTTGTAAATATTGCAGTCAATAATATTGGTGCTTTTATTACACAGTTCACAGCAATTATTATAGTTTGCCTTAGTCCCAATCTGGATCGAGAGAGAAAAGTTCTTATTCTAGCAGACTTCTTCCTCTAACGTATATTACATCGAAAGATGACATCAACAGGGTAGTCTGCACAAGGTCTACAAGTCAATTAATTACCGCAATTACAAATAAAGGAACTCCTTAATAGTCCCATTTATTGTAGCCGCTTAATTGTCACGTTTTCTCTAAAATCCTCTGTGAACCGATCGTACATGAGCACCAGGTACTGAAATTGGCGCTGTTACCTTGAAATCCCTCAGACGCTTCTGATTGGCCTGTTCATAAATTATAGTCTCACCAAAAATATTTAAATGATGTAGTTTTTCAGATAAGTCATTATATACTATTTGTAAATGTAGGTTTATTTAATGGGATAATTGAATTCCTTTAAAAAAACCATTCATTGACAACATAAAACATATTTTGCAGTCAATGTAAATAAACTGTAACCATTATAGAAATATAATGAATGTAGACGACATGATTTACTTGCTTATAAGTGATGTTCGGTGGTTAGTGTGATGTTGACGAGGTAGGCATTCGTGAATGAAACCAATTGACTTGCAGGAGCTTACCTGATAGTATAGTTACAGTGTTACATAAAGTGTTTCTTTACCTGATT